AAACGGGGCGCAACGATTCAAACAGGGGGGAGTTTTCCCAAACGGGGCGCGCGCGCCCCGTTTGCGCAACGTAGGGAGAACCCTGGGTATGTGCTCGCCCTGTGGCCACGCACTTGTTTCGTTCTATTTTTACTTGTTAAATCCCCCACATTTCATAACGTACAGTAGCAAAAATGTATTAGCTTTAAATAATATGTTGTAAGTATCTGCTATGCTGCGCTTTGCCTTATGAGTGTTTTCAGGGGGTGTATTCTGAGGAAAAAAGAAGTGCATACAATAAGATGCAAAATACAGTAATTATCAATTCTGTTCTGTAAAATAAATATATCATTACCTGTGTTAATTATGGCTCCTGATTGTATGCTATTCAAGTAACATTATCTTCTGTTTTAGGAGTTGGTTAATTTGGTTGAAGAGGAACTCAATACTCGGTTTCCCAATGGGGCAACAGTTTTGGACGTGGGGTGTGGCAGTGGTGCCATCTCACTTGCACTTGCTAAGCATAGACCAAATGTATGGATTCCATATTATTACATTTACAAATATTATGAAATTACACTAAATGTTCTCTTTGGTCATTAGTTATTATAATTAATAGATAACTTCCTTTCTAGCTATCATGCTAACAATTCGATGATGTAATTAGGCTGCGTCATGCCAGAGAACTGGCTGTTGAAAAACTGAAAATGTCAAACCACTGCTTGGAAAATTTATTCCTGTTGAATGTTCTGCTTATGAACAGGACCGAATCATGGCAGTGGACATGTCCTTAGATGCTTGTTGTCTTACCAGAGAAAATGCAAAGATGCTAAATTTGGCAGACAGAGTTGCAATTCACCATCTTGAAGTTGAGGCTGGTAAGCATATTTCTGGTTCATTACCCCTTGTTTCAATCACACACACTTATCAGTCTTAATAATTGTCTTTTTATACTTTGATTTTATTTAAATGTGGCCTTAACGTGAGTTTCTAAGGACTGATTTTTTACTTTAGGTACAATCGGCATTGGTGGGTGCGACAAGTTTGATATGATAATCAGTAATCCGCCATACATTCGCAATGACAACATGCAACAGTTGGCACCAGAAGTTGCTTGGTATGAGGATCACCATGCGCTCTGTGGTGGTATGAGCGGTATGGAAACTATCAGGAAAGTTTTGCTATTTTCCTGCTCTGCTCTGAATATAAATGGGTATGTAATTTCTAACTACATTGGTATCAGAGTTTATTAGTAACCCAAATCTAAATGGTTTATGTATGGCGTCCATGTGCTACCCTGTTTATGTATTATATAGAAAAAATATAGTAGGTCTCATCGTCTGGGGCCATTAACAAATATCAACATTATGAGAGATGCCAAACTTCTTGAATCACTTGGCATGATTTCTTGTGATTGCCAAAAGCAATAATGGCAATTGCCACTGGCATATGTGAAATATGGTTTTTTTTTTTTTTTAAATGGGAACCATTTGTTACTGTAACCATTATTGTAACTATTACTGTAACTAAAAATTGGTTAAGCTGGAATTGACATTGGTTCAATATGCTTTTCTTCTAGTTCTTTATGGTTGGAGGTTGCCCTTGATCAACCACATGTTCTTCAGCGGTATGTTGCCAGATTTCTTCCCATGTTGCGTTTTGTAGGAACATACACAGACTTCTCAAACAGGTATGTACAGTGTTAGTAAAGCATACACTTTATTCTAATCAGTATTGGGTCAGTTAAGATTTTACTTTTACAGTTACTCTTCAAACTATCTATTTACAGTGACTGTGGGAGCATTTAGACTCAACCTTTGCTGTTAGATATAACAGATGTGTTCAGGACAATGTCGCTCTTGCCCAGCTGTATATATATTGTATATGCTAGGAATCGGTCCTCTGGTAAAGAAAACCAACCGTGCTTTAATTTTTAATTTGCAGATTACGTTTTTGCAAACTAAAGAAGTTATAAACATCCTCCAGGACAAGGTAAACTGTCAGACTGGCCCAATAAAGACAGCTATCCAGTCAAGTCCAGAGTGGCGTAACCAATTGACCACATTCACATTATTCACATTGTTACAATCACATTTGCGTGGATCATCATGCAGGAATATGCAATTTCATCATAGCTGCATGTTATTAGTTATTTCCTTATGATATTCATCATTAAAATTGTTAGGCAGCACATGATCAGCACAGTGTTGCTATTCATATAGATTTTCTTTTTTTGTGAATAAATGTTTCTACTATGAGCATTCTATTTAATTTGGAAATGATTTTTTTTATTACAGTGACAATCATTTAAATGGTGCAATTCTTTTACACAACAAGCTTTTACTTCCACCCTATCCTACAAGGACCAAAATTCATTGAATTCCAACATGTACATAAACAACTATCAACAGTCCACCTCTTCTTATCATCTAATCTCCAACACAGATATAGATACAACTGCTAACAAATCGATAAACCTTATAACATAAAACTAACTTATAAGCAACTATCAACAGCCCATCTATTCATAACATTTCATATCCAACAATGATAAAGGTGTCATATCATACAAGTTGATAAACCTCTACATATTACATATATGCTCATGACATACGCTTGCAACACATCAAGACCAGCGCAACTCCTACATAAGGAAATTTACATACCTGCCATACAAAACATTAATTACAGTAGAATACAGAAACTTGCACAAAGCTTACACTCATGATCATGTGCAATCGCGGGCCAGGCCTCAATCATATACCTTATTGTATCATGTTTTGGAAGGGAAGATTCATCTCAATGCAATTTATATTAAATATAAGTTATGTATATAGCTACCATCACAGCATACACTACCCTGATTGGCTGCAGTTTGGTGATGCACCACTACTGCACCAGGGCTGCCATCATATGTGAAAGTCCTATTATGTAGAGCAAACTATTAACAATTGCTTACATTTTGTAACCAATGTAACCACACAATATTGTAGATAAATGGCTTCACATTCTCTTTGCAGAGGAAAATGGATGGGGTGGACATCAGACATTATAGCATGGTGCTGTTTTCAGGGGGAAACTGGGTGTGGAGCTCAGAGGTCATAGTTTTGTTGCACGGGTGGGGATAGGAGGGGGAGGCTTCCGTGCAATTGGTACATTCTCATATATTGGTCGCTGCACATCTTCAAACACCCTGCAAAAGAATAAAGAATCAGTTATGGTTATTACCAACCTATATTCAAACGGCTGGTCTATCGCTAACATTGCATGAACTAGATTTCAAATATATATTGCAGTCAATTCTGCAATATTTACATTTTCACAGTGAGATATGATTCTCTACTAAAACCACTTCTACCACAACTACTTAAACCAATAGTTCAGATTTCCTAGCACAAAATCCAAACAATGCTTAACTGATAATTATTAACTTACTGCCTGCAGGTAGTCAATAATTATTGCAATAATTATTCACAAACCTTGGGGCATTTTTTGATGTTGGTGTAGATGGGGCTACCGGAGGTGCACTTTTTCTTAGTGCAGTCTGTGGGTCACCACCGCCAGCACCCTCGCTTGAGTATTTTATGTTAGTGTACTCCCTTCCTAATTGCAAACTCTTCTGTTCAGCCTGTAATAACACAATATCACGACACGATGAGGCTGTAAGCATTCTGAAAGATACTTTTGTGTATTATACTACAAAATGTTACCGTTATATATAGCTCCTAGTCTGAAAATGTACTAAATTAAAACTAAACCACACTACTTTCATTAGAACCACGAAAGGCAGCACAAGGGATGTCAATATTCACAACACAAATGGGGAGTTTTAAATGCAGGTTATGACATGTGAATTATGTCATGTTACTGCCACATAATTCAAGAAATGGGCATATTGTGAGACCTACTGCTAGATGACTTCTCACTCTTTACAATACTGCACTATAAGAAATGCCATATATTTGCAGATGAACTATAATGTAGATGTGCATAAATGGTAGGTTCTTTGGCTAGAGCCTCTCTTTAAATTTAGAATAAATATACCAAAACTGGAAACCGAAATTGGTTATAGCTATAGTCAAAACGTCATTTGCAGGCTTTGAAATAGTAATGGACGGGCAATTGTTTTTGCCTGCTACATAATTGACTCACAACACCATCAATTATGCTTTTGACACAACACAAACATCTCAACATCTAAATCTTGAGGACAATAACTAATCCACCTCATAGTTACAAGTATGCAAACAATGTGTCTGCGTGCCACTATAACCCCATGCTCTATACGAATTCGATCACGTCAGTAATATTATGTAAGATGCCTCGAAAGATAGCACACTGAAGTCCGTGCACCCTTCACAGAACAAATTTGCCGAATTTTGACAGGCTACGCTACCTGCATGCGTTGCTGAACAGTCTCCACGTAGTGCTGGATTGCAAGATACACAAACTTGTACTGTGCCTCAGTTTGGATCATTCCTGAGCGCTGTGAACGTATGCTCTGCACGGTCCGTTGGATATCAATCTCACAGTCGAGACCTGTGAGAGCATGTGCATGTGTGAGCACTATCAGAGTGAATGGTACTCAAAGCGAGAGTGACAGACCAACTAAGAGTGGGCGAAGTGTCAGATATTGAGCATAGAGTATACATGAGTTGGGAGATTGCTGATGGGAAAAGTTTCTAGTCATCAGACAAACTTCGCTCGAGTGCCAACGATGGAAGAGGAACATAGCTGTCAACTATTTAAAGCAGAATTATCTGATGAATGGAATGTACACAGGAAATACCTACCTTGTCTCTTTATTTGGTTAACAAGAATGTCTATTACAATGAATGTTCCAGTCCGGCCAATTCCAGCACTGTAAAAGACAAAAGAAAACAATGTTTATACAAGCCAGTCAAATTGCCATCAAAAACAGCAGGAATTTGCATTATCTGATCAAGCAACAATGCATAAAATCTACATTTTCATATAACATAAATGTGCTCGGTCTCAAAGTTAAACGAGGTAGGGATATGTGGATTTCTACAGTTAATCTTACCTGCAGTGCACCACAACCGGCCCAGCATTTTCCATCAAGTCTTGCTTTGCATTGACATCATGCAGGAAACCCAGCACACAGCCTGGGTCATGGGGCACTCCGTGGTCAGGCCATGCCAAGAACTGGTAGTGGAATACACGGCGTGGTTCAAATACATCCGCCTGCAAGATGAGAAAGTTTAGATTTTCACTGTTAGTCTAACAATTACCTACTTATTTAACCATGTATCCATCTACTTGTGCCCCATCAACCTACTGATCAGACATTCCATCAATGCATCAGACTCCCCAACCATACATCCAAAACAACTAATACCTTTCCTTCCACAGCTTTCTTCTGCACAGTGAATTCTCGTAAGACATAGTCTGTCGTTGCAGACTCAGATTCTTTGGTAACTTCAACAGAGCTATACTCCTGTGAGCCTTCATCAGGCCAGTATCTCACACACTTATTCTGCAGATCAAACATTACATAAATAAATTCAATAATATCAAAAAAAAAATGACAATAGGTAATGGATATTTGTTACATTAACTTGGGTTAAGCTGGGTACAAACCTGAAGATTTGGCTAGTAGTCTGACGTTACATTTTAAAAGGATAGACCAAGAATGGACAAGGTAGGGATGGTATAGACGTACTGCCATTGAACTGTGTAACCTTAGTCAAATGGCCATACTATTACTTATTTACTTATGACCCTACTACCTGTGTAACATATATAACACGGGATCTGGGATTGGTCACAGGAAAATTGTCCATAGGAGCAACAGGAGGATGAGAGAGAGGGAGGGGGAAAAGAATGCGGTAAATTGAGGTGAAGGAGAGAATAAGAAAATGATACGGATTTATTGTCAGGGGGAACTGGACTGATATTCATCACACAGCAAAGGAAAGTGCAGTTCATGACTATGTGAATAATCGTGAAAATGGTAAGTCAGCAATAAAACCAACAAGTTTTTTATGGGATCCATCAACCCATGTCTTGATGTCACATCAAAATGTAAGAAATCTGCTTTATATGTAACCCACTGCCTATTGATTTTCAGACTGAGGATGCATCACCACAATGTGACACTACATCCCAATAAGCTGTAAAAGGTGCACCATTTAACACACGAATAGATGCACAAATGGACACACAAGGAGGTGTACACTCTTGCCATTCTAATAGCTGATTATCTTCCAATTTCAGATGACCTAGCAGTCATATACAATGGAAAAATGCTGGAGCCTAGAATATGGTCAATATTCAGGCATCAATTCCTCCATTGCCATTAATCACATACCTTTCCACGTTCAACTTCTTTGGTTGTCATGACAATAACTCGAGAATTCTCCTGAAGGACCATGCGCCAGAAGTCCTCTATTGTGTTTGGTAGGGGTCCTTGGGTAGCAATATAGTGCTTTTTACTGTCCCCAATGATAGCTTCATCTTCAGGCTGAAAGGAGTATTGAACATAAATTGGCTGTGAGTTTAACAATGCATGCTCAGCTTCATCAATCTATTACTTCAATATGTGGCTAGTAAAATTGCTACACTCATGAATATGTGGGGCCCATCAGGCTGTACTTACCGTAATAATGTTTGCATTGGTGTAATCAGAGCCCACCTGGTCGTTGTCACCATCTTGCAGTTTTACACGGGTATGATCAACTGTGAAATGCCAAACATACACGTGGTTAACAGCTCATTCACTGAAACAATCTCACAATAGCACCTAAGTCCAGATTGCCTCTTGGGATTGTTTTCTTGGTAGCACTATATTAACACTAAAACCTGGTTAAAAAATCAGCTTTCTTGCCCACATCTCCCTTCTCTGATTTCCCCTCGTCACAACAACCATCTAGATCTGACTAATGATTGTTTTGATCACAATGTTCCGTGTACATGAAACATGTGAAAGCTACTCCATAACCATACTTACATTACTACAATTTCAATAAAAATGATTCAAGATGCTGTGAATCTTACATGGAAGAATGTTTTTGTAGCGGTTCTTGACTTTGTTTTCGGGGCGCTGGCCCTCCTTTCTGCTATACAGATGTTTGCACTCATGCTGCTGCAGAGCCTGATAAAGACGTTGGAACAGGTAATGCCAAAGTTTTATAACTTGTTTTCAGCCAGTACTGACATGCCAGTGTGCAATGACAATGTATCTACACCAATTATGTATTTTCCATATGGTCACAATCTCCCTATAGAGTAGAGCCAACTATTTATAATAAGCTAATATACCACTGAGAAAAATGGAGCATGTAATATATAAAGAAATAAAGTATTGTTTGGTAATAACCTCATATTCTTCCCAGAATCCTTCTTTCCTGCTGTTAGTATGACCATTGTCTTTCATCAGCTCTTTCACTCGAGCATCAATGCCAGATGCTGTGATCCGTGTTGCGTTGAAAGGCTTTGTGAAAAAAATACTAACAAAATCACTACGAATTTTAAGAAGGAAATTGTTTAGTCAAAGAAATCAATTTGCATATAATATATCATATTTATATCTTTTATTACCTCGTTATTATTTTCTATTATTATTTTCTCTCTCCTTTCCCTATCTCCCTCCCTCTTCCTCTGCCCCATCCCTCCATCTTCCTCTGCCCCTCCCTCTCTCTCTCTTCTCTCTCTCTCTCTCTCTCCCTCTTTCTCTCTCTGTTTCGCTCCCTTGCTCCTCTCCTGCCCCCTCTCTCTCTATATATAATTATCTCCAACGCTCCCTCATTTGCACTCTCTTCCCTTTTTCTCTCTCTTTCTCTCTCTCTCTCGATGTTCTCTATCTACCTCTTTGCCTTATTCCTAGATTGATCTTACCATGCGTAGGTGAACCACAGTGCCTGATGTTTCAACCATTGGATTTTTCTTGTAATGTTCAACAAGATCTGTAAGCTGTTCGAACTGCTCACCTCCTCCCACATCGTACTTTCCATCCTGAAATCCAAATTTGAATGAAAATAAGCCATTGACTCTCAATCTACCTGACAGTTCACATGCCTAATGCTGAGGTAGAGTATTACGCACAGAGATTACAGCTAGCATGGAAAACCCTGTGTATATATATACTGTATGCACACATAAAAATGGACAAATATTTGCGTACAAAGCCCTAGCGCACATTGAGCTTTTAGGTTGACCTATTACTAAGTTTTTCATACAGGGGGTTTATATCTGGGTATTTGCGTTTAGTATCAAATAATCTGGTATAAAAAAAACCTATTTGTGAATTTTGGGCAGGGTGATATGAAGTGATAAAAACGTTGTTATTTTTGTTGAAATTACTGAATAAGATAAGTTTTGTTATAAAAAAGCAGTTATTTGTGAAAATATGCAGCCAAATTGCAAAAAATAAGGGAAATATCTGTTTCTAGAGCTAATCGTGAATTTTAACCACTATTTGAATGATAAAAACATCCTACATTAAACGATGGTAAATATACGTTCAAAGAAACACCAATCAGAACACACCTGACAGCGGATAATGACTTGCATGACCTTGTCATCTACCCTCACGGATAGAACGTAATCACCTGGCTTGCTCTGACTCTCTCGCACCAGAAAGCTGCCGTTGCGTCCTCTTTCTAATATCAATCTCTCTGCCTCTTTCCCGGATATGTGCCCATGAAACCACCTAGGCAATTGTAGGCACGTCAAGAAAACACGTGAGTGGACATCATCAAGGACCCACAAATCAATGAATTTGCTCGATTCAATCAATGAGATGAGAGTGCACGAGAAATCTGATAAAATTCATTCAATTGTAAAAACTACTGTTTTTAGAATTTGGGAGCATGGTATGGTAATTCTGCACAGGCCTTAGCATACCGTTCTGTTGTTGGGTCAGCGCAGTTTAATGGGTACTTCAGCTCAATGATCTCGCCATTCTTCTCTCGTAGCTGCCCGCTGTTCTCTGTATAGTTCTGCACTAGCTCAGCGAGTGTGGCAAACTTCTCCCCACCATACAAGTCATAGAAGTCACCCGTATTTTGGATCTTAATGTGGGTGACCTCCTTTTTACGCCTGCACAAAAAACACCACATCATTCAGCGAACATATGATATGCATTTACATCTTTTCACATGTCAAAGGAAGCCACTCTACTCAATAGCTGGAAAACACAATCACAAACACAAGAAACACAGATCTATGTTATTTATTACGCTTGGGGAAACTACGGATGTTATTTTAAAAATAGGAAGAGTTGACCCATACCTCTAGAGCAGTGGTTCTTACCCTTTTTTGAGTCATGGACCCCTTTGGGAATCTGGTGAAAGCTACAGACCCCGCCCCAGAAAAATGCACATAAGCACATAAACACACAATTTTATGCGCCTGGGTCACGGACCCCCTGAAGCCCATCCACGGACCCCAAAGCACGTCCCCCAAGCAGGTTAAGAACCCCTGCTCTAGAGTGCAATGATTAAGCTAGGTTTCAAAACTGAGGAGACAAGTGGCTTCATCTGCTGACAATAAGGAGGCATTTCATCTGTGATACATCTGGAACCCAAAGGGTGGTGAACGGTGTGGAGTAGGGAGTACTGCACACCATCAGAATTCTTTTTTTAAATCTGAATCAAGCTCTCAGGTAATCTGATCACATTTGGAAGCATAATTACACTAAAAATGAGAATGCAACAAGTACATGATTTATAATAGTGTCTGTAAACACTGTTACAGGTGAATTAATGAATTTATGGACTGAAATTCAGGGTTTCTGCCAAGATTTTTAATTAGGGTAGGCAATGGGTGCAAGTGACGTACTAAGTTGTATAAAATTTGCTGTATACTCAACTTGATATTAGGCTAAAAACGTATGCTCTAGCACGTAAATTTAATGTGGTACCACCAAATAACTGGAAAATTTACTCACAAAACTTTAGCGTAGACTACTTTGAGTACTGAGGATACTCTACCCTAAACGCTTTTTAGGTAGGCCACTAACCATTTTACACTTGCAGAAATCCAAAATTTGTAGGTGATATGCCTAAACAAAATGCCTAATTAAATACCACACACTTGTATTTATATATACAAATACATCCAACACCTTAACAAACCACTTAGAAGAAATAATCTCCTACCATACCTGACAAATATTACACTAAATTCAAGGACACTGATTTCGTATTTTATGCTGAAATTTAGCTACACATTGCCAGGTTGTAAAAGATGGAATAAACATGTATATATACATCAGAAGTAGATAATAGGGAAGGAGTGTGACTTCAATAAACATGGGAAATTCGTCATTTACTAAGTCTTAGAATACCTACGATTTACTACGCGTAACTCAACCAACTTGAGCTCAAATCGTACACAGTACATTCGCCTAGCATCGTGCAAAATCGTTTCCTCGTATACACCCGCAATCCGGCAATACAGACTAAAACGTACGACACGATTCTCCATTCTGTTGCCAGCAAACCGAATCCATAACCTGCCTAACTTGAAACAATAGGGAGCTACTAACGACTCTTGCGCACTCTTGTGCCCTCGGCGATGCGGTGTGGCTCGCTTGGACATCATCGCAATACTCGGCGAGCTAATCTTTGACCTATTTACAGCTGGTATGCCCCCCACGCATGCATGCCCACCGCAATCAGCAGCAGCTCCAGCTCCAATCTCCCAGCGAAAATCTCGCACAATCATGTCCTGCACAAAGCACTTATAGTGCATTAACACAAAACTAAACTAGTGGCTCCAATTCAAAGTCCACGGGTTGACCAGTGACCACAGCGATTTGCACTTGATTATGGAACGAATCATACATAGTAAATGCCTACCTTACAGAGAGTGTAAAATCACCAGGGTTGCTCTTACTAGGCCTTGCAAGGAAGCTACCATCTGTACCCCTTTCCATAAGCAACTGCTCGGCCTCTATTCCTGAAATGTACGGGTGGAACCACCTGAAAAATGATATGCCAAAAGCGTCACATTACACATATATTCAGTTTGTTATTTCCTGGATAATTCAACTATCTATTGTATTTGTGATTGGAGTATTGTATTATCAATATTCTATTGTACAACAATCTTGTATTTACGTCTGCGGCTAGTGAAGTTTTGTTATGTGCAAACAAGTGATTTCTGTGATTGCTTGGTTTTACAGAGGCAATAACCTGATTACATTCTAGTCATGTAGAAATTCCAAGTAAACATGTGACTGTTAGCTCTGCATGTATAGTGTTGAGTGTTTGTCACATATTCCTATGTCTATGGCACTATGCATTCACAGGTGGGTAGGCTCACAAGCTGATCCATTATTAATATGATCAAACACACACTGATGTACTTGGTATTCGTTATGTAAAAGCTTCTAAGATAGAACACCCTCAGTGACGCAGATGGGGTCGTTGTCGTATCAGGTACTACAGATATGTACCCGAGGTAGTTTTAGGTTGTTTAGTATTATGTTTATATTTTTATATAATTAGGAGGTAGTTTTAGGTTGTTTAGTATTATGTTTATATTTTTATATGAGGTATGTTTAGAGTTAGGGTTAGGGTTAGGATTAGTGTTAGTGTTAGGGTACACTTCTGTAGTACAAGTCTGGTATACTTTGTGTATACATATATGTACCTCGGGTACATATCTGTAGTACCTGATACAACAACGACTCCTTGAGCTTCAGTGACCCTGCTTCATTATCACCACCCAACACGTCTCATGCTGGTGTATCTGATATTGAACAAGGAACCTGCAGATACTTGCTCGTCATTGATCAGCACTACTGTTAGACATCATGGGTCACAATTTTAACGTGGTGAGCATAGGCCGAAGGGTTCTGTGGTTCCGTAGCCAAGGTTATTATATACAGTACACAGTTTTTAGCGCCAGTATGTGTTTCCGATAAGACTAACAGTAACACTAACACTCAGTGTAACAGAGGAACTTCTGAAGTTCTGTGTTCAAGGTGTCCGCACACACGGGGATGGCTCGATGCAGGTTTAAATCTTGGCGTTACACACTGTGCACCGTCAATTTCGCAACAAGAAACAAGCACACAGTGTATTTATGCCAGTGTCCATAGAATTACATAGCATTTTGAATGCCAAGTGTCACTATCTCTGAATCTATGTCAGTATGTGAACTAAATGTACTACTGTCAGACAGTGACTAGTACTACTACTAGTACTAGTAGTACTAGTACCAGTAACGCTGAAAGGCTCTATGTCCCCCAGGGTACTGCCGGAACGTACCCTGGCCTGGGTATAGTCCGGTATACCGGAACGTACCCTGGTACTATCTAATATGCCGGACCGTACCTCGCCTACTCCACTAACGAGTCTAGGGAGACGCCTACTCCTTAACCCTAACCCTAAGTCCTAACCATATCAACCATAACCATACTCCATAGGGTCTATGTCAGGGTACTGCCGGAACCGACCCTATAGACTACGGCAGTAGAGTAGGCCCCTACCACTATTTTAGCCGATTCCATACGTTAATTGAATTTTACCTTCTTGAGCCCATGGTTATACTGGCGGGTAAATTACACGATGAATAAGGAGGAGGAATCGCCTTTCGTTGAGGTATTTACTAGATTCGCCGACGTACGCATAACCTATGGCATAACCGAACGGTAACAAACACAACCAGAGGAACAATCGCCCCCGGAAGCTTTTTCGTCCACAAGATGTCGCCTCAGTAACTGTCGGCAACCGCAACCGGCAGTTAGATGCGATATGATATAACTACTAGGCACTTTAATTTAATTTAATTTTTTTTTTTTTAGGGTTAGGGTTAGGGTTTAGTTAGGTTTAGGGTTTAGGTTAGGTTAGGGTTAGGGTTAGGCGTTTTTTTTTTTTAAGTGCCTTGTAGTCATATCCTAAGTGCCTAGTAGTCATATCATATCGCATCTAACTGCCGGGTGCTCGGCAACCACCGATCACCGATCTCCATAATATAATCAGAAGTAGATTCTGAGAGTAGAGAACAATTCCCTATTATCTACTTCTGATAATATACTAACATTAGTAACATTACTATTTTAGTCTATAGAGATCAGTGCCACTGATATATATATAATATATATATATATATAGTATATATATATATATATATATATATATATATATATATATATATATATATTATATAATTTATAATATATATATTATCATATATATATTATATTATATAAACTGGTTTATTATATAAACTGGTCACCGAATCCAGTGGCGTGGTTAGGGAGGGACAACGGAGGCCATGCTCCCCCTGTTGATCCAAAGTTAAAAAATAAAAAATAAAAAAAAGAATTGTTGCTACTAAATCGAGACAGTCGAGAGGCTGTAGGCCCTACATGAACTCAAAAGTGCCTCAGGACTGTGATTTACATTTTCAAATTTTCAGGGAGAGGACCCCATACCCCCGCCTGTTTTCCCTCCCCCCCCTTTCTTCTTGGAATTCTAGATCCGCCACTGAACAAATTAGTATAAATTAGTTTTTGAACGTTAGAATTAACAAGTCTTAGCTCATACATTTTATTTTTTTCTTTCTCTACTCTAGCTTTTTGAAGGAGGGTTTTTGGTTTTTGCCCCCCTCCCACTTTTTGGATTGAGGGGCACGCCCCTTGCCCCCCCCCCCCCACTTCCGGCGCCTCTGAGTGAGGTGTTCGAATAAAGGAGATTTTTACAGATGCGTATATAGTTAATAATTAATTCAATTCTGGATGAAATTATTGCATGTGTGGTTTGGGGTATTCTGTACCCTGTACCCTATGCACACAATGCGTTAGAATAAACGCGGGACCAGTCGGTATAGGCTTGAGAGAGCTGTATTTTCCCTCTTGCCTGTATGTACATGGAGCTCGGATGGATAAAATGTGTTCCCCCCTCCCGAGTGTCATCACACACGTTACCAGCACGTATCTTTGTAATGTTACATGACTTTTTGTATAAAATGTAATTTGCAAGTGATCGCAAACTTTATCTTTATGCTATTTCTGTTTGATTGCTTAGCAGACAGTGTTCATGATATTCATTATAAGAATCAATACTAGAAATTTATTTAAATGATATCCTTGTTTTGTGAAAATATCTACATCAAAATACTGCTACCTTATTTAAACCAGCAGGACTGTTTCAAGTCGATAAAACATGCCAACAACATGCGCCAAATTGCACCAATAAGTTAATAACAACATCAAAATGCAATAAGCTCCCCCTCCCCTCGGGCGCTCCGCTCCCTCGAACTCATTGCCGCCCCCCCCCTTAGATTTAATCCTGGCTACGCCGTTGCACACATACACACACATACATTGGTCTTTGTCGTGAAATTGTGTATAACCTATATACCCGCGCATACACGCACTCGCACGCTCGCATGCACGAGCACATCATACGCACAAACGCACGCACCCATGCACGGGTCGAGAATGTTATAATGAGTTTTCCTGATTGCGCGTGTTACGTTACAGAGTGGGATCAAACACACACGCGCACGCGCACACGCACGCACGCACGCACGCACACACACACACACGCGCGCGCGCGCGCACACACACACACATAAACACACACTGGTCTTTGTCGTGAAATTGTGTCAAGTGGCCGGCGTAGCCATCGTGACCGATCCGCCGTTTTTGTTTGGACCGGGATCCGACTACATGCTAGAAATTCTCGAAAACTCTCTGGCAAAAGTTTCGAGTGAAGATTGGTCACTGAATCTGTGGTCATTTAGCATGAATAAAGTGTATGTCACGTATGCGCCGAAATTCTCTAAATATTTTTAATGAATGACTGTTTGATGCTTATTAAGTCCTGCCAGTGTCTATGTAGACCTTATCCAGACGCGCGCGCACACTCACACGCACGCACCACATGTATACACAAAAACGTACGCGCACGCGGACACGCACACGCTCACGCACGTACGCATACATGCACCCCCCCCCCACACACATACACACACACACGCGGCGTAGTACTGTAGCGGAGATCTTTATACTTGTATAGTAACTGTGAAGCACTGAAGCGCTCATGCAGTCACGCGGGACTTTTTGTCACCCTCCCTGCAAAACTATCTCCTCTATTTAGCGGAGAATTGTCACGAGCGAGGCTTGGTAAAAGACTCAATGCATGTCCCCTGCTATTTAGCGGACAACTTCGGGATATTGAAGAACTTGGCGAAGGTGGGTTTCTGCTAAGCGAGCCTATGCTCTAGCACCGCTACTCTCTACTCTGTGATTTTGTTTGAAACAAGTGAACGTCAATCCAACTAGTTACGCCATATTTGGCTTTTGGGGGTGGAAGCTCAACATGGTTTGTAAATATTTAAGTCCATATTGTAGTTTTGTGGACTGCATGATCACCAATGACCATAAAATGAGTTACTATACGTTGCTTGTCCAACGTGAATTTAATCCTGAAATTGTCACCTATCGGTATAATTCATATTAATTGTTCTGATCTATAGCCTAGGCCTACCGATAAATTTTCCGTGACCAGCCTAGGCTTACTTCGTCCTTACGTAGTTTTTACAGTCTGCAGTTTACTTTGTTATAACCGGCAACTTGTACATACTATTACTATGTACTAACTATTATAGTAGGTTAATATCTTTACATCTTATTATTATCTACTGCATAATTATTATGAAAGTATAAGGCCTTGATCAGGAAATTGTGTACTACCTAACTCTACTCTAGTACTATACTCTATAGCCCACGTACATTGACTGCCGCAGGCGCCTGCGGCAGTCAATTTACGCGGGCTATAGTACTAGAGCTATGTACTACCTAGACCGAATAATTCTGTCCCATATAACCTTTTTTATATTTTGGTGAGGGTTATATTGGGACAGAACGGGGTTCATTGAAATTTCGTGAGATCGCATGCAAAATGCATGCGCTGAGAATGCGGCCCGTACGCCGCTATTGGAGCACAAAAAAACCTACCGTTCCCTTCTACATGGCTTTACCTTGCTACTGATATGTGTATACATTCACTTCAATCGTTATTCACTTCTTAAAAGATTGTTAATTATATAAACATCGCTTCGTTCAACTTTCCTAAATTACATCGCCATTTACAAACAATCAGACCAATCAGAGCGAGTCTTACAATAGCCCCTGGTTCTCGCTTGTATCTGTGGCGCTGCAGGAGGCCTGATAGACTCGCTGTGATTGGTCTGATTGTTTGTAAATGGCGATGTAATTTGGGAAAGTTGAACGAAGCGGTGTTTATGAAAAACAATCTTTTAAGAAGTGAATAACGATTGAAGTGAATGTATACACATATCAGTAGCAAGGTAAAGCCATGTAGAAGGGAATGGTAGGTTTTTTTTCGCGCCAATAGCGGCGTACGAGCCGCATTCTCAGCGCATGCATTTTGCATGCGATCTCACGAAATTTCAATGAACCCCGTTCTGTCTCAATATAACCCTCACCAAAATATAAAAAAGGTTATATGGGACAGAATTATTCGGTCTATGTACTACCCTACCTGTGTATTAATACTAATGAGGCTGAGTAATGAGTAATGAGTAGGCCATAATGCTGATAGGGTCTATGTTCCCCAGGGTACGGCCGGAACGTACCCTGGTAACTATCTGATATGCCGGACCGTACCTCGCTTACTCCCTAACGTACCCTGACTGTCCCTGTTCCGCCCACTACTGATGTCGCAAAATTTGAAATATACCAGGGTTCTCCCCAGGATGAAATTGAAACAGGGGGAGGGGAGGGGGGGGGGGCTGGAGGGGGGAAGGGAGGGGAAACTAGGGGAGTCCGGGGGTGCGTCACACCATAGACGGTATTTGGGGTTCTTGTATATATATAAGATAGCCGAGTCGGTGTACAGTTAGTGTTGGGTTCGGGACAGGTTGACTGTTTGTACTGGTGTGTGGTCTGCAGTGCATGCGTGGTACGGTAAAAATACACGAGTCGGGTGTCCTGGTCGAATGGGAATTCTTGACAATCGATTCTCGTGCTGTCAAAATTTTATTGTGGGGGAATTTAATCGGGGCGCAACGATTGAAACGGGGGGGGGAGTTTTCCCAAATGGGGCGCGCGCGCGCCCCGTTTGCGCAACGTAGGGAGAACCCTGTACAGACCTGGGGCCCATTGTCAGAAACAAAATTAGTAATAACATTAGTCTTAACATTAACTTCCACTCGTTAACCGTTGACAGAAACATCGTAATGTTACGAGAACGAAAAATCCTCGCAAATATCCTCTTAACATTACGAGAGCACAGACCCTTGACCGTTGAAAATAACGCATTTACACTACGAATTACAATTATAGTGATATTATATTTTATAATAATGAATCAAATGTGTGTTTTTCTTGAAAAACACGTCAAAATCATTCATTATCTACCGCTAATAAAACAAAACAATACATTTACAAATGGCGTATGGCATTTGTTCTCTTGTTTTAAAGGTTTGCCACGACTCTCGCGTGTTTGGATGTCATCATCACAACTTTACGATGTTTCTGACAACGGTCCCCTATATGATATCTTTATAAAGTTGGATTGGAGTATGAAACTGAAACCAAGAAGAAATTTCAACCTATATACACAGATGCGCGCAATCCTTTTGCAAATGTCGCGATGATCGGGAATGCGTTTTCCTTTCGCAATGTTTACGACATTTTCGCGCGAGATTTTTGAAAGATGGCTCCAAGTGTTGTGGTGGAACAGGAAAATTTGTATGATTATCTTAATGGGTTGGAAACGTATAGACTCGCTGACACTTGTAGAAAGGGTCGGGAGGTGAAACGTAAGAGGGTAAGGGTTACAAATATTTTGCGGGAACGGACCGGAAACAAGAAACGGGAGCATAAAGCGGCGCGTTTCCTGCCGACAAGCGGTATGTATTACGACATCGGCTGAAAGTCGGTACGGTTTGGAGTAGGCGAGGTACGGTCCGGCATATTAGATAGTTACCAGGGTACGTTCCGGTATACCGGACCGTACCCAGGGTATGTTCCGGCAGTACCCTGGGGGACATAGACCCTATCAGCAATACTAATAATACTAGGTACCGTAATACTAATAGTAATAGTATTACGAGTAAACTAGTAATGTATGCCTGTAAACGGTTTAGAAATAAAAATAAAAAATAGAAAAAAAAGATTTTATATGTACAGGACAGGACAATACAGACACTAAAGACGTTTCGCCGAACCAAAAATATTTCAACCATGTTAAACATGTACGACGCACGCACGCACTCATGCACACATATGACTGAATTGAGTACCATATAATCAGGAGTGTATCAAAAGGAGTAAGACAGACTAAAACCGGCAAAATTCAACATTTAGTAGCCTTAGTCTACCTATGATTTATTGTGTTTACCTCGATAAACTTGTGCCAGATTTGTCATTTTTATGAGACCAACGATTAGACACGGATAAAGTTTAATGATTAAGGCAATACTTGAGCTCAAGTTTATCGAGGTAAACAATAAATCATAGGTAGACTAAGGCTACTAAATGTTGAATTTTGCCGGTTTTAGTCTGTCTTACTCCTTTTGATATACTCTTGATATAATATATAGTGACAGTGTTGCTATTATAAGTCACTAGATCAATATAATATTGGTAATTAGGTTTGTGTTATTCAATGCATTCTGGTGAACTTTTCTCATGCACTCTACAATAATGACATATATCTCAATATATCATTAAAGACAATTTTTCTAATATCATAGTTTTATTTTTTAATGTAGTTCACTTCAGTTTAATAAATCAGTTGATGCCTCTGAAGCAAAATCCTCCTGGAAGTCATATGCAGGGAAAGAGCCAAAATAAATCTTATTAGCCTAAATTGAGTCATGCTGCGGAATGCATAGCAGTGCTCGAAATAAGCGTTGTCCGGTTGTCCGAGACAACCAGAATTTGCGCCGGACAACCTAACCAGTCTGAGACATTGTCCGGTGGACAACCAAGAAACACTATCCCTAACCCTAACACTAACTCTAAACCGACTCGGCTATCTTATATATACGCGTGGTACCCAATTAATCTATGG